CAGATTGGATAAGAATTCAATTTTGTTTAATCTGATTTCCAAAATTTTGGGGGGGCTGAGCGTCAAGTTAGCCCCCCAGTAGGATTTTTGTCGGAAAATGACCGAATATGGAAATTTTGAGAAAAACCTGATACAGCACAGTTCAGCACACTTCAGATTGGATAAGAATTCAATTTTGTTTAATCTGATTTCCAAAATTTTGGGGGGGCTGAGCGTCAAGTTAGCCCCCCAGTAGGATTTTTGTCGGAAAATGACCGAATATGGAAATTTTGAGAAAAACCTGATACAGCACAGTTCAGCACACTTCAGATTGGATAAGAATTCAATTTTGTTTAATCTGATTTCCAAAATTTTGGGGGGGCTGAGCGTCAAGTTAGCCCCCCAGTAGGATTTTGTCGGAAAATGACTGAATATGGAAATTTTGAGAAAAACCTGATACAGCACAGTTCAGCACACTTCAGACTGGATAAGAATTCAATTTTGTTTAATCTGATTTCCAAAATTTTGGGGGGGCTGAGCGTCAAGTTAGCCCCCCAGTAGGATTTTTGTCGGAAAATGACCGAATATGGAAATTTTGAGAAAAACCTGATACAGCACAGTTCAGCACACTTCAGACTGGATAAGAATTCAATTTTGTTTAATCTGATTTCCAAAATTTTGGGGGGGCTGAGCGTCAAGTTAGCCCCCCAGTAGGATTTTTGTCGGAAAATGACCGAATATGGAAATTTTGAGAAAAACCTGATACAGCACAGTTCAGCACACTTCAGACTGGATAAGAATTCAATTTTGTTTAATCTGATTTCCAAAATTTTGGGGGGGGCTGAGCGTCAAGTTAGCCCCCCAGTAGGATTTTGTCGGAAAATGACTGAATATGGAAATTTTGAGAAAAACCTGATACAGCACAGTTCAGCACACTTCAGACTGGATAAGAATTCAATTTTGTTTAATCTGATTTCCAAAATTTTGGGGGGGCTGAGCGTCAAGTTAGCCCCCCAGTAGGATTTTTGTCGGAAAATGACCGAATATGGAAATTTTGAGAAAAACCTGATACAGCACAGTTTAGCACACTTCAGAATGGATAAGAATTCAATTTTGTTTAATCTGATTTCCAAAATTTTGGGGGGGCTGAGCGTCAAGTTAGCCCCCCAGTAGGATTTTTGTCGGAAAATGACCGAATATGGAAATTTTGAGAAAAACCTGATACAGCACAGTTCAGCACACTTCAGATTGGATAAGAATTCAATTTTGTTTAATCTGATTTCCAAAATTTTGGGGGGGCTGAGCGTCAAGTTAGCCCCCCAGTAGGATTTTTGTCGGAAAATGACCGAATATGGAAATTTTGAGAAAAACCTGATACAGCACAGTTCAGCACACTTCAGAATGGATAAGAATTCAATTTTGTTTAATCTGATTTCCAAAATTTTGGGGGGGCTGAGCGTCAAGTTAGCCCCCCAGTAGGATTTTTGTCGGAAAATGACCGAATATGGAAATTTTGAGAAAAACCTGATACAGCACAGTTCAGCACACTTCAGACTGGATAAGAATTCAATTTTGTTTAATCTGATTTCCAAAATTTTGGGGGGGCTGAGCGTCAAGTTAGCCCCCCATCTATTTTTTCCTATAACTTTGTTATCGAAACGGCACAGTTCAAAATATCACCGGCACAGTAGAGCACACTTCGAGCACAGTCAGTGGTTGCAATTTTTTTAGAAAATTCGAATGTGGGGGGGCTAACTTGACGCAGCCGCATGTTTTTGACGCCAGCTCCCCAACTATACGTGTTGGAAGCAATTTCCGCCATTTAACATAATGAGTGCGACAAAAACAGGTATCCCCTCCGCAGCAGCGGCACTAGGCTTCACGTTCGTCAATATGTGTTCGCATTCCAGTTTTTGGTTATAGTTATAGATCGCAACATTGCTATTATTTCTCAAAGTGTAAAGTGTCTTGCCTTCATGCGCGATAGTTTTGCCCGGTAACGTTAAACTACTAGTATTTAATTTTTAATCTTTTATTTTATACTCCCAAACTCAAATAATCTCACTCCAAACACAATTCCCGAAATACTGGAGTTGAAAAAATAAAAATTTGTGTTTCGAACTTTAAACCTTACCATTCCGAACAAAAAACCCAAACCACTGGAGTAGAAGGTGTCAAAAATTGTAACTGGAACTCAAATGCACCACTTTACCTCAGCAATTCTTTATCTGTCGGAACTATAGGTAACGGTTTATTATTTGTCTATTTTAAAATTTGCACGGTAACATAGCATTCGAGCATACTCTCTTTGCTCCTCTTCTTTATACTCTCCAACTCAAATAATCTTACTCCGAACATAATTCCCGAACCACTGGAGTTGAAAGATTAACAATTTTGAACTCCACTACTCCGAACACAAAACCCGAACCACTGGAGTAGAAAGAGTCTAAAACTGTATCTCGAACTCTATTATCCTACTTTTCACTTCAGCAATTCACATTGCTATTATTTGTCTATTTTGAAATGTGCAATGTGTTTTGCATTCATGCACGAAAGTTTCGCCCGGTAACATGGAACTCCTAGAGTGTTTACTCCGTTTCTATAATCTCCAACTCAAATAATCTCACTTCGAGCACAAGTCCCGATCCACTGGAGTTAAAAAATTACAAATTTGTATCTCGAACTTCAAACCCCACTACTCACACATAACCCAAACCATTGGAGTAGAAATGGTCAAAAATTGTAACTCGAACTCTATTGCCCCACTTTTTACTTTGTATTTCTTCATCTGTCGCAAGGTCGCAACATTGCTATTATTTGTCTATTTTGAAATGTGTAAAGTCTCTTATTGCCTTCGTGCACGAAAGTTTCACCCGCTAACATGGAACTCCTAGAGTATACTCTATTAACTCCTTTTCTTTATACTCTCGAACTCAGGTAATTTCGGTCCGAGAACAATTCCTGGACTGGGATTGCGACAAGCAGAATTCTACTTTCATGACGTCACCCACGACCTATTTATCGCGTATAGTACAGGCGATGAGAGTTGTTGGATGATGACGGTTGCTAGGCAACTTAAAGTCATGAAAGTAAAATTCCACTTGTCGTGATCCCAGCCCTGAACCACTGCAGTTGAAAGATTAAAAATGTGTTTCTCGAACTCTAAACCTTACTACTCCGAACACAAAACCAGAACAACTGGAAAGAGTCAGAAATTGTAAAAGGCCGTTTTACAGCTTGCAATTCTATCTGCAATATGCAAGAAACTTGAACGAGGGCATGCGCAGAAGTGAGTCAGCTGATTGGTTTCTGCAAGATTCTTGAAACTTGAATGTCATTGCATGCAATCGGTTTGGTGCCATTTTTCTTGAAGAATTTCGTGCAAGCTGAGGAATTTTTAGCAATTATCATGCTTTAAAGTTGCTGCTATTGCTTTCTTCTTTTTATATCGACTTGGGTATAATCACTTTTTTTATTTTTGGAAAATGCAAACATCAACAACACAACATTAAAAACAAAAAAGTATGGATAAGGTTAGAGAAAGAAACAACTTTGTTTCTTTCTCCAACCTTAACCATACTTTTTTGTTTCTAATGTTGCGTTGTTGATGTTTGCATTTTAAAAAAATAAAAAAAGTGATTATAAGTCGATATAAAAAGAAGAAAGCAATAGCAGCAACTTTAAGCATCACAAATGCTAAAAATTCCCCAGCTTGCACGAAAACCTTCAAGAAAAATGGAACCAAACCGATTGCATGCAATGACATTCAAGTTTCAAGAATCTTGCAGAAACCAATCAGCTGACTCACTTCTGCGCATGCCCTCGTTCAAGTTTCTTGCATATTGCAAATAGAATTGCAAGCTGTAAAACGGCCTTTAGCAATTCTTCATCTGTTGCAACCTTGCTATTATTAGTCTATTTTGAAATGTGTAAAAAGTGTCTTGCCTTCGTGCATAAAGGTTTTGCCTGGGTTTTGCCCGGTTAGCATAGAACATTTATAGTGTATGTACTCTTGTCAAACCCGAACCACTGAAGTAGAAAGAGTCAAAGTAACATGAGAATGAACTCCTAGAGCATACTCTATTTACTCATTAGTTGTATTCCTTTAACACCTAGGAGGAGCTCCGGAACAGCTCCGGGGCTTCACGCGCTTATTCCTTTCGAAAAGTGTTTGTTGCACCACGCATCTGTTCTTTGCAAATCGGGGGCGACTAAACACCGGAGCGAGTAGCTCGAGTGTTTCAAACTCTTGAAAGGAATACAACTATTTTCTTTATACTTTCGAACTCAAATAATCTCTCTCCGAACACGATTCCCGAATCACTGGAGTTGAAAAAATAATTTGTATCTCGAACTTTAAACTAAAAGCCCATTAGTCCGAACACAAAACCCAAACCAAGCTGTTCAGGAGCTCCTCCTAGGTGTGAAAGGAATACAACTATTATGGGAGTGTGACGCTCGGAGCTACTCGGAGCGTTGAGCTCCCAAGCTATACGTACGGACAAACGTCACACGTCATGGAACGGTACAAATCTAGTGCGTGGTGCTCCTGGGGTGCTCTAGAGCGCGCCAATGTGCATACTGGAAAGCAGCTATTAATAGTTGTATTCCTTTCAAGAGTTTAAAACACCAGAGCTATTCGGTGATTTGAAAGGAACAGATGCGCTAGCTTTCATGTATTTAAATGGTTTGAGTCGGGCTTGAGCACTCAGGTGCAACAAACACTTTTCGAAAGGAATAAGCGCGTAACGCCCCGGAGCTGTTCCGGAGCTCCTCCCAAGAGTGAAAGAAATACAACTATTAGTTGTATTCCTTTCAAGAGCTTGAAACACTCGAGCTACTCGCTTCGGTGCTTAGTCGCCCCCGATTTGCAGGGAATATATGCGTGGTGCAACAAACAGTTTTCGAAAGGAATAAGCGCGTGAAGCCCCGGAGCTGTTCCGGAGGCCCTCCCAAGAGTGAAAGAAATACAACTATTGCGTGTCACTTCACTTGTCCTTGTCAATTTCAAATGTTGACGCTTTCAACGGCCATTTATATCCGTTTCAGTGTTTTTTTGGTTTGAGGTATGCTCGCTCGTGTTTGATTTTATTTAAAAGTTTATTACCAATTCCCACTGAAAAATAATTTAGTTGATTTTGAAAGTAGAAACTTACTAAGAATAATGGCTGGTCAAAGCAATAACCAGAAAAAGAAATTGGGCGGCTGCCAAAACATTAAAGTTGTTGTGAGAGTCAGGTAAGAATTCTTTTTTTCTTTTATTGTATTTAAAGTTGATAATGGGACTTGAGTTTATTATTACAAGTTTATTGTGAGATTAAGAAGATGAGTAAAGAGTCTTAACAAGGCTTTTGTTGTTTTGTAGCTTGGTAAAAAAGTAGAGATTCTCTTTTAAATCAGACCCTCTCATCCAGTGGCGGTCCATACATGATTTTCTGGGGGGGGGGTAATGGATGAAAGGAAAATTTTCAAGTGTCGCAACGTACCGCCGGAGGCGACATTTTTTTTGGGGTGCCACGCTCAAATTTGCACCCGAAAGTCGTTCAAAAAACACGCCTCAACTGTATCCCAATGCCGTCAAAATAGTTAGGTATACAGGGTGTCCACTTAGTGCGATATGGGACGATATCTCCTTACAGGGTGATGCAAGAAAAAAAATTAAATTACAAAGTTGTTTGATTCTCTAACGTGCATAAGTTAAAAATATTTTCAAATACTCAGGGTCCTCCGAGGGATAATCCGTAAATGGTGTATGCAAAAGAACTTTGTTATTTTTAAATGGAACATCCTATATTTCAGTACATTAATGGATCGTTGTAAAAATCCTACATACTTTTTGTTAGGAATCACCTATACCAAAACTTAACCGTTTTTGAAATATTTAATATTTTTTCAAAAAATCGCAGTTGGCATGTGTCAACAAAAACCAACAAATGGAATACCCTTTATCTCACTGTATAAAAGAAGGTACCTACGTCGATACTGTGGGTGAGCCTGTCATATTTAAACGATGCCTATGCTTTAGGTACTTTGTAGAAATTGTCTTTTGTTGAAATTTTGTTGTCACTAATAAATGTATGTAAAAAAAATCTTTGTCTGGGGGGGGTAATTACCCCCTCTACCCCCCCCTTTAAACCGCCCTTGCTCTCATCTCAAGTACAATTATTCTTCTAGCCTAGGAATTTACCCTTGAGATTGAGTCTCATTTTTCATCTTTGGCAGTCTTACCTATCAACTCGATACTGAATTAATAACTCAAAAGCCCTTAAGCCCTTTCACAATATTTTTAGAGGCTCTAACAATAGTGATGTCTATCATAATTTGATAGGTACTTCTAGATTCTATGGTTTATTTTTTCCCAAGATAGATTTTGACATTGTCTACTTTGAAACATAAACAATGCTGCTTGGCCCTGATTGGTCGCAAAATGAGGTGTTCCTGCAGGTTGACATCACTTTTACAATGCATGTTGTGCAAATGGCATCTTGCGACCAATAAGCGGCATTTTTTATGCTTCAAATTTGACAATGTCAAAATCTATCTTGGTAAAGAATAAACTGTAGATAGTTTTATAACTTGTTCATATACTATTTTTTTTTCAAAAGAATAGGTGCTCAGAATCCCATCATTAATTTATTACACAATTATTAGATTTCAATCTTTTCTCTATTCACTTGCAAAATTTCAATCTAATCTCTCAAACATTTTTCAAAGAAAAAATAAAGTGTCCCTCAATGTTGTTTTTTGGAGATTTGATTTTTTCTCCAAAATGACATCAACACACATTTTACTTCACAACATTGTTAATTTTAATCCGATCTAAGCGTGATGAGACCTAAAAAAAGGCCTATTAAATCTTCTATAACTTTCTAGTCAATAGTTTCGATACAGCTTCAATGATTTTGCAGAGAGGAAGGAGAAAAGTAGAAAATCACAATTTTTGTTTGGGTATTCCAGGCCCATGCATTTTCTTTGTTAGAAAAGAAAGATAAAAAAAAATCATTTATTTATTTATTTACAAACTCAACGGATTTGCATCCAATTACAGAGTAGGTGTTAGAAACTAGCATACTTGTGGTACTTGGTTTACTTTGTTACATAAAACATGATTTAACTGATATCTCTCACATTTCAATTTCATTAACTCTTTTCTTAAATTTTTACAATCCTTGGTAAAAAATACATAACACATTCATCTCTAAATTGGTTATAATCCCATTGAAATAATGGGAGAATTACTGTAATAATTTGTTCGAGTAAGTATTATTTATCTACATAAAATACTCGATAAAATATGAGTGGATTTCTAGTTCTGTTAGTTTGGTATATGAAAGTTGAGAAACAATCAGATCAGGATCCTCAATAAAATTATTAACTAGTTTATATAAAAACATCGGATGCAATTTTCCTCTGATTATTTAATGATTTTAGATTGTAAGTTTTCATTATGTCTATTCTGGGTATATGCAATCTATACTCACCACTTTCTTTGTAATGTATGTATCTTAAAAATATGTATTTGTACCTTTTCTATGTCATATTTATATGGATTCATCTGAATTCTGGCACATTGCCCCACACATATCTCAAAAACTCCGCGTCCAGTATTCTCGTAGTTTGAGGCATCATTTCAGCAGTGTTTGTTGGAAGGAAAGAATCAGAATCAGAATTATGGTTGTGTGAGCTTGTATATTTAAAACATATGGAAAAACATGCGATATGAATTATAATCTCAATTTTTCAGATTCGGAATTTAAAACGCTCGTCAAAGTCAATCTGGCAGATCAATATGAACTATTCATAATCTGAAAAAGTGAGAATGTGTGTGCTGTATAATAAAAATATACAGGGTGTCCCCGTTCAATTGGTCAAAAATGCTAGGGAATATAGAGAAACCATAGAGAAGTAGTTTGAGTTAGGAAACCGATGGTCGGAAGTCCCTCGTTTCCAAAATACAGGGTGTTAAAATTTAAACAAACTTTTTTTTTTTATTATTAATTATTAAATCCTTTATTTAGCATAAATTGCTAGTTTACAATAGTATAAAATATATACATATATATGAAAAGTAAGTTAAAAATAAAATGTAAAATAATAAATAATTCATAAAATAGGTAAACTAACAGAACAAAACTTAATAATCACAAACGATACACAATAATTTAAAAGTTATCACAAGATCAACCATCCAGTATATCACAATCACCCAGTATATAAATTTTTAGTTTTTTCTTGAAACTCAACAATGAAGTGCAGTTTTTTATTTCTTCTGGTAGGTTATTAAACTTGTTAAATCCTTTATGAAAAATTGAATTCATTGTACATTTTTTACTCTTTGCAGTTATGAAAAAATTATTTCTATTTCTGGTATTATAGTTATGCACTTCATTGTTGTAAACTATTTTGTTTATAAGGTATTCAGGAGCACGTCCAATCTTTATCTTAAAAATAAAAACCAAGGCATTATACCTTACAAATTCCACAACCGGTAGCCATTGTATTACTCTTAACATTGAGTTTATTGGTGTATACTTGCTACAGGAAAAAATTATACGCATAGCCCGGTTCTGCAATTTTTGTAGTCTAGCCACCTCATTCTGCTTAAATAAATACATGATTGTTGCACAGAAGTTGAAATGTGGCAAAACTAATGTATTATATACAACTAACTTTGACCAGAAAGAGAGAAAATAGGAACATCGAGATAGATAGTTAACACTAAAACTTATTTTAGACACAATATAATTGCAATGTTCCCTAAATAAAAGTTTATCATCCACTATCACCCCCAAATATTTAAACTTTTGTACTCTTTGAATCTTATCAGATCCAACCATCAATGAAAGATCATTGTCATCACAATGGAGTTTGGTTTTGTCATTGGTTATTAACATGAATTTTGACTTATTCGCATTTAACTTTAAACGATATTTCACAGTATATTTATAAATTCTATTTAACGCCGCATTCATGTTTTGAACAAGGCTTGTCAAATTCCTAGAGGCTGCATAAACCAGTGTGTCATCAGCAAATAAGTGAACGTTAGCATTTCCTAAAATATCTGCCATGTCATTTATATATAAAATAAAAAGTAGTGGCCCCAGTACGCTACCCTGAGGTACACCATGATAATTTTCTAAATTTCCAGAAACTCTTCCATTCACTTTAACATTCTGTACTCGATTTGCCAAATAGTTCTTAAACCATTTTAGTACACATCCACCAACACCCACAGCTTCAAGTTTATTTAAGAGCATTTTGCGGTCTACCGTCTCAAAAGCCCTCTGGAGATCTAAAAACACTGCAATTACCATATAGTTACTATCAGCCCAATTCTTCCACTCATCCACAACACACTGAACCGCAGTTTCACAACTGTGGTTCGCTCTAAACCCTGATTGAAATTTAGTTATCAAGTTATTATGTTCAACAAAATCTAGCAACTGTATGTAAACAATTTTCTCAATTACCTTTTCTATTGTTGCAAGAGTATTTATAGGCCTGAAATTTGTAGCATCAAGAACATTTTCTTTTTTTTGGACGGGTATTATAGTGGACATCTTTAACCGATTTGGAAATTCGCCGGTTTCAAAAGAACAATTTATTAAATTTATGAGTGGATCCTCAATGGCATCATAAATGTTTTTTAGCAGGTCGACACTAATTTCATCAGGGCTACTTTTAGATTCCAAGGAGAAAACAACCTTTCTTAAAGCTTCCGTATCGATCAATCTAAAGTTATCAAACCTATCCAATATAGTTGAAGAATAATGATCTATATATATGAAAATGAATGCCACTTTTCGTTGTAATTTTATAACTCAAGAACGGACTCACCTAGCCAAACCAAATGTTTAGGTTTTGTTCAGACTATTTATTAGATGGTTTATGTGAAGTTTGCACAAAATCGGTCGAGCGGTTCTTCATTTATCACATTTTTTGTAATAAATTAATTATTCAATAAATGGAGCATCATTTTGCTGTCAAATTCAAACTTTTTTCAGCGTTTTTCAGTACCAGCATGTTGTTATGTCATTAATGTGGTCATTTCATTACTTATTTTATTTTCTACTTTACTATTATAGATCCATAATACCTAGGAAACGAAATACGTTAACACACCTATAACAACCTGATCCATAACGCCCGCTTTTGCGGGCGTTATGATCTATAACGCCCGCTTATAATACCTTAAGGTGTTTTTGTTGTTGTTGTTCTATTAATTTGCACTTTACCCT